GAGACGATATCTTCGTATATATAAAAATTTCGGGTAACTTTCTTCCACTTTTCCGACAATACTTTTTTCTCGCTTCGTGCACCGAACCTTCGCCAATTGGATTTCCGATGGATCCACTCGTATCTTTTAACTTCGTCGATCCCTCTCACACTTGAACCTTTAACCCTCTCTCTCACCCACTTCTTCTTATTTCATATGCACGTTCTTGCATTTCATTTGTTTGTCTCGTATAACTAGAAGATTTCATCGGCCGTAAAGTAGGAAAGTTCGATCATCCCATTTCGTTTCTTGTGCTGCAAAAGCATTTAACTCGTGTAGATAAAATAGTAGCTCTTTAATCTTTTAACGCTTATGCGTATATTTATGACTATTAAATTTCCAATTGATTGCAAACACATATAAAATGAAGAATATAAAATGAATTATTTTGAAAAATATCGGCTATATGTTTCTAAGTATAAAAAAATGCTTACAACGTTTTTGGTAAAAAAAAAAACTTTATTTTATTTTTTACATCGATTAAGAAACATTTTCATATATTTTTTACTTTCTATGTATATAATTAATTTAACCGTTATGGCCCGCTAGTAATATTACTATCACAATCACAGAGTTGAACATTTTGAACAAATTCGGGCTGAAAGTGTTGATGGAAGATAGCTCGACTCTCATTTATTATCAATATTCATTATCAGTGCAAAGCATTTGACAAGCAATTGAAACTGTCGACATTATTCATTTTATTTAACTGTTAACAAGATCACGATTGCTTATATATATATATATATTAGTCAAAGGAAGAAAATCAAGAAATAATTATCAAATTATATTCGATTGAATCTCACAGTCCATATAACAAAATATCCTTGCAGATTATTATTATATATGCAATTTTTTATTTTTTATTTTTGTTTATTATTTACAATAATAAAATATTGAATTCAATGAGCATAATAAATCCATATCTTGCAAAAGAAACTCTTTGTAATTAAAGAATGTTTAGTAATTCCTAAACAGTATTAAATATATTAATTATACAAATTATTTTTAAAACATATTTAAATTATTTTTTAATCAATTGCTTGTACTTTCCTTTGTCATTATTCTTTCGTAAATAATTCAAGTATAATATTAAAAAATTTGCATGAAACGCTACTCCATCTAATCCAATTTCACGGTTCACCCCCCACCCCAATATATAATATTTATAATTCAAGTCGAATATCGAAACTCAAGTGTCTTCAAATACAAAATCTCAGACATTAAATAAATCTAGCGTATTTTACTTGAGTTAAACAATTTAAGCATTAATGAATTTCTTATTGATAATAAGAATTTATGAAGATTCAAAAATTAACAGTAAACTATTCATAGATGAGGGTATTTGAAGTCTTAAAAATTACGTGGATATAGATATTAATTGACAAAAAATTAATAATTTTACGACTAACTAAAAAATTTATCATTTATTCATGCTGGAGAAACAAATTTTCATTATTAATAAAGATTATTCAATTAGAATACATAGACTTTAAAGAGCATTTATGATGAAACAAACCTCCACATTTGGAAAAATATATTTCCTTGTCGATACAATCTTTGACAAGTTTCAAAATATCTAATTACTTAAAAAATCAGTATTCATTAAAAAATTAATTTTTAAAACACTTAAATTCAATGTTCTTTGATACAACTACTAATAGATATTAAAAATATTATGTTGAATGAATCAAGCTATATGTTTTCAATATTGAGATATCGTAATATCGATTACTTTTTATTTTGATGTATCTAATAATCTTTCAAGAATAATTACAGATATGCGTAATAATTTTTAAATATTAATTTGAAAGTAAGTTAACACACACACATATATAATATAATTATAATGCAGATATCTATAATTTTTTAATCATATGATAATAAGAGATGAAAATTAAAAAAATAAAAACTATTATGTCTCTTTAATTCGTAACCGCAAAGTATTGTAAAAGATCCTATTAATTACCACAAAGATTCGAAAATATTGAATAAAATGTTCATAAACGCACCACAAATGCATATTAATTATTTTAAACCCGCAAGATGATGGTGCTTGTACTACATGTTTAGAAAGTTACTTGATTCAGCGTAAACCACGTGACCGTAGGAATCTAAATCGCTCGATTATATGGATTAGGGGATCCGATGGATTCGCCTCTACTCTTCGAGCTGGCAAATTGATTTGGATGTTTAGAAGTTCTGAAGAAGTACTTTTAAAACTAAAATGGGAAAAAGTTTTAAGACACGTATTATAGTTGAACAATTCTAAATGATAAAAAAAGCCGTTTTATGTACATATTGAAAAATATTTTAATAAAAACCATCGTTTAAATAATTGCCTTTAAATGTATACTTAACTTGTTATTTCTACATAATTGAAATATTCTTATTTTCTGCCTAAATTGATACATATTAAGATATTAAAAGCTTAGCCATAAACTATGTAATATGAACTTTTATAAAAATTTTATTATAATTAATTAACTATTTTTATATTTAAATATGATAATATATTATTTTCATAGTTGTCAAATAAAGGATTAAACCGAACTTAATCTTCAATGAAAATTATAAAAACACTATTAAAATTATCAAATCAATCTTTCGTTCAATCAAAATACAATCATTAAATTATAGGCGGAAAAGTTTATTGATATTTGATAAACAAGTACTGAATATTATAAAAATTTAAAATACTAGAAGAAATATAGGTAAGCTTATAAAATTAAATCAATTCCTATTCACAACAGTAGTTACTGCATAAAAATAATGATCCAATATAAAATATAAACAAAATAGAAACCAATATAAACAATAATATATTATTCATTAATTAATACATATTTATTTTAGATATTTTATAAGCGAATTGTCAATCTTTTTATTCCCAAAATGATTTTTATACACTTTTTTAAATATTTTATTTAATACATTAATATTATTTATTATTACTACAAATAATAAAGTATACAAGTGCGTAGACACATGCGTCTAAAATAATAAAATAACAAATCGGACTTTAATCATGAAAGACAGTGTAATTGATACAAAGAAAATTAACAATTATTAGTACACTGTACGAACCGAAAACCATAAGTATTATTTGAAATTTGAAGCAAAAAAATTCCAATTTAATGTTTTGAAGACATTGATTTCTTCAAAATTCAATATTTTTGTAATGAACTATCTTTTTCCTAAAAATAATGTATTAATAAAATAATCAAAATAGTATGAGAATAATTAAATTGATTAATTAAAAATAATTTTATTTGCAATCTGTTTTTTCGTATTCAATATTTGATTTAGCGAAAGAGTTTTTACTAATTATACACAAAAATTCTTACGAAAATATAAAATTCATTTTTTCATCAAGCGCTAAAGTTTTATTAAGGATTAAGATAATTATGAAAAAATTAATTTTAGTGTAAGATATTCATTATAATGTAAGGAATATTCATTTAGACAATTAGTCAAGAAATATTTTATTTAAAAAAATAATTATTTTTTTAAAGGATAATTAGACTAAATATATAAAAGATTTTCATCAGAAAGGAGAATTTTTTCGCTGTATTTTATTTAAAAAATTTGCCATACACTAGAAATAGAATTTATTCATTACGTATTCATAGTATTCATATTATATCATGTGTAAGTGAGTGCACTGTTTGAAAAGAATAGAGATATCCAAATTTCATACTTTATATAATTACCCGTAGGAGTAAATAAGAATTAAAACTTTATTAATGCAATTATGATAATCGATGTGATAATCATAAAATCCATGTCATCGGATCCGTTAAGTAACACGAAAACTCATTATATCTAGGAAATTATAGCTTATTTTTCATCAGCCTCGCATATATATTATGCCTATCAAAAGTATATTGTTATTAATAATAAATAAATTTAATTGAAAATTATAAATAAATAATTGTGACCAAGAAAATTAATGAATATATTGCAGAAGAAGACATTCAATATTTTTAAATATTTGAAATTTTAATTCTACTTCGGAAAATTAAAACTTTTTCATAATATTTGCGTCTTAGTAGTTAATTTTTGAAAATTATTGTAGTTATATCACAAAATCTATGGCTATTTTATCCCAAAATACTATTACGAAGATAGAAAATTTTGCAATAAAGATTAACTACATAAAAGATAGAAACATTATCGATTAGCTTTATCAATACGCATATGAACTATTCTCTGGTAATTCGTAACTTAGGGAATGTTAATGTAGAATCTAGAATTATTCGCAAGTGAAGAGAGTGTCAGCGAATCCGCAATCTCTACACGTATACGCATATACGTACATAAGTATGTCTGTTCGTAGTGGAATTGCAAACTGATTTTACATTCAGTAGCTAGAAATCGTAGTAAAATACATTCGCCGGAATTCGAAATATTTCTCTCGTGTAATGCTTCATGCAGTACCGTTTGAATATTTAGATTCTATGCATCTCCATGAAATGTGTGAATTACTAATTGATAATTTGAGTTTCTTACGGAAAGATCAAATACTGTGTGAAATTAAAAAAAAAAAAAAAAAAAAATGTATCGTTGAAATGACGAGTTTTTAATTAAATAATAAAGTGTCGGTTGGGCAACAAGTGTTATATATATATATATATATATATATATATTAATAGTGTCAATAAAAATTAATAATAGTATTTTTAAATATTTCTAATTTTTTATGTCGATAGTTATTCTCGATAGACAATTGCTATGTTCTTGATAAATGGCTTTAACAAATTGTCAACACTTCAAACAGACATTCTAAAACTTCAGGATTAAAATAGAATTTTCATAGCGAAATAGCGAAATTATAAAATACATACTACATTTTTTACCCTTTATCTCACTCCATCCAAGTCGCATAAGCAAAATAGTCTAAGATTCTACTCCATCCATGGCTAGCAAAAGTTTTAATCGCCATATAAATGTGTTTGCAGATGTTACCAGAGAAGAGCAAAGCGACGTCCTTCGCTTCGAGGCTAATGGTCCTGCTACTGCTGCTCCTTGCCAGCTACGTCGCCGGGGATTCTCCTCATTACAAGGTGAGTGATTCGAGGCCGCGGAATGCGATTAGTCAGTCATCCTCGCTACGAAATTGCGATTACTCCCGATTCCCGGGCGTCGACAAAAAGCCAAACGACGCCCTCGCGCAAGGATGAAGATTAACGAAGAGCCAAAGTGACGAAAGGAGATTATAAATGCTGATTAATTGCTTAATAAGTGGCCGACTGGGGTAGCTCTTTGGTGTTGGTTTGTATTAGCTTGTCTCTAATACTTCGCATTCGTCGGTGTGCAAAGTTTCAGCACGGAGATTACGAGCCGCAGTCGACATTGCGAAAGTAGAATAATTATATGTGGACCAAGTATTATGGTTCTTAAAGACAATTTCATGGGGAATTAAGTTTGATTTTCTTGGCTAATCATGTAATTATAAGATGATAAGATTCATTAAAAGTACGAATTTTTTAAAAAATCTTTTTAATACTTTGCTCTAAGAATTCTGATAGATAGTTTTTATTATGAAATTCCGATGAAGTACAATAAATATTCATGATAAAAGTGAATCATTATTTTTATGTCACCATTGCTTAATAATCTTTTCGTGTCTCTTCTTTTTACCAAGGCTTTGACAAAAATTATATTATACATCATTTACAGCTAAGACGGATGGTATTATTATCTCAAATTACATCATTTATACATCTGTTTTACATAATCTATCAATTTAAGAGTCATCTATGATTTAAAAATGTAAGAATGAAATTTAAAAAGCATTTTCATTTAAAGTAATATTTCAAATATTACTTACTTCATTAATTTCAAACAAGTTAAATACAATAATGCAATGTACTCATTACAATGAAGAACACTTAACAAATCAGACGAGGAGTTTAAAAATATTTTAAAGCTTAAAGTATAAATATATAATAAATTATAATATTTCAAAGTCAGATGCATAATTATTGTAATTATAAATTATAAATATATAACATTAAGTAAATTTATTTACAGTGATTTATTATTATTACTTTTACGTATTTATTATAATTATTCATTTACATGTAGCAGAGTGAAAATCATTTTTATGATTATTAATACAAATTATTAAATATTGTTTCTAAATACATTGTCGTTTTTCTTTTTAAACTAATAAAACGTAAAACAAATGGTCACATAGATTAATTGAAATGTTATAAAATTATTTTAACAAATATAATAAATTTTTAATTTACTTATTAATTTATTTTAATTTTTATGTATATTGTCACTCATCTTTTAAAAAAAAAAAAAAAAAAAATGCCTTGTTCGTAACATTTTTTTCGCAGCCGACAATAGTTATCGTAATTAACTATTGAAACGTTGATTACGAAATACTAAAATTTTTGCTAAATTATAAACTTATATCTTCTTACGTAAAAGAAGTTGAAATTTATTCATAAATTTATTGTAAAAATAAAGTAATTTCACCTCGATATCTAATTAGCATACAAACTTTATAATACTATTTTATTGTCTTCATAAAATATTGTAAAAAAATTTTTAATATATTTGCACGAACTTGTAATTATGAGCTCGCATTGTAATCTAAAATATGCGATAAATTAACTATATTGATATACTTTATTACATGTTAAGTTATTAAATACGAATTACTAATTTCGCAATTATTAAATGTATTATAGATTCCGGATATAATAAAGGAAAGCGAGCGGAAAAGCCTGACTGACTCGGATCTATAAAATGTATACGCAGAAAAGTTTGATATTCGAATGTTCACTAATCGTGGAGCAAAGTTTGTCAGAATAGACGATTTTCTCGCTTCAATGCTTCGTTTTTATCACTATTCGCTAAAACTGCATAAAACTTATAACCGACTCTAATTACTTTAAAGGTAGAACTGCACTTTTGTAAGTTCATTAGCGATGTGTGAATGTAATGCCGCATCAGTTACTTCATAAAAACGTGCTTTAATGCATCACTTACTTTGATTCCTTACGTTTATTTTCAAATACTTAAGCCGCAATTGAATAAAAAATTAATTATTTTAATAATGAGTTTTCAAGATTTTTGTGTTCAAACATTCGGTCGGTAGAACGTGATTTAATCAAACATATAATTTACGTACGTTTGTGAAATAGGAAATAAAAATAATTTCAATAACTGTTAAAATATTTAGCATTAACTATTTTACATACTATATATATATATATATATATATATATATATATATTCATACGATAAACGTTCTAATATCAAATAATTCCACCATTCTTTTTTTTCTTCTTTTAATTATCATTTCAACTCAAATACACATTCGATATTGACAATAGTTAGATGAAAACAGTTGAATTAAATATTTATCATTTATCATCATTTATTTATCATCTTCGATACTACATATTGCATATATATATATATATATATATATATATATATATATTTAAAATTATTAAAAATTCTTTTACTCTTTACTACCCTTCATTAATTAATTATTTTTAAAATCATTTATAACGCAAGGAATTGTCTTCGAATGCTATTATTACTCAATACGTTATCACGTAATTTTTTTAAAAAATTCAAGCACAATATGCACCTCTAGCAGAACTTTTTCTGAAAAAGTATTAATGATTCTTAACTATTTTAATATTTATATATAAAAAAACTTCTGAATTAATTATAATTAAATAATTAAATGAAAATAAAAAGGAAGTAATGTTATAAATTAATAATGAAATGAATTTTATAAATGAGAATTCAAGAATTGCATTATATTCAATATTTTTTATGTATCATAAAGCAATTAAATTTTAGTTTTATTTTATTAAGCATTTGTTATTATACAATTATCATTGCCCAATACAAATTCTTCTTTCATTACATTAAAAAATTCAATTGTAATTTTATAATAAGACTATTTATTAATCCTATAATACTAAGAATTACAAAATGATTATCATAATATAATTTAAATATATTATATTAATACAAAATCATTGCTAAAACCAGTGGTTAGTTAAATCCATTGTAATTGAAATTTATGAATATTATAAAAATCTTATCAAAATAATATTCCTTTATAATTTTTACATGAACGTGTACCATGTTGAAATCAGATTTCACACTTTATACAAGCATATAATAAGTCATAAGCAATAATTAGTTTTAATAAAAAATGATTTGAAAAATTACCTGCCGTAAGGAAACCTGCTGTCGACTCTAAATTAAACACTTAATTCTACAATTTTTTCGACCAGAGGAAGTACAATGTAAAAAATATAAAGTCTCATGGATTTTCGTTGCATCCACTAGACTGGCAAGTGACAGATGTATCAGTCTCGTGAATTTATATTTCAGTTTTAGTCCTGGCTAACGTATCTACACTTTTCATTGCTTTTCTTTTGTTTCCATTTTTTAATTTTAACACTAACCTGGCCTATTTAAAGAAAAATGGTGGTATTCTATTTCACGGGGTATATTTATCGAACTAATATTTTATCATAATTTTGATTAAAAAAAAAGAACCTATTATTGCTCGAATTAAAATATGTATATAATTAGAATAAGCAATAGTTTAAAAATAATACCGAATCAAGATATATTGTTACTAAATTTAATTCAAATTATTTTAGTACAACTTTTCCTCGGATAAAGTAGATTGCTTTATACAATTAAAACTCATTCGCGGTTAATTATTTATTTATATATTGCGATTAACATTTAATAGTAATTATTCTAAATATTTCAATATGTACATGAAAATAAAAATAATTACGCAATATATATAAAATGAAAAAATGTTACTTTACCATTCAGTCGAAATCATTAATCCTGTGTAACAAAAATTAAAGTTTCTACTGAAAAATTATTTATGTTTCTTAAAAAGTGTTTAAATATAATTTAAAATAAAATTTCTTAATGCCATTTGGCTAATTAATTAATTTGACCAAATATAGTTATGCTAAAATTTTAAAATTAATAAGTTTTTTATAAGATTATCTGTACAATTATCGATTTGTTCAAGACAAATTTTTAATTGTCTAACTTCTATGCATAAAATTTTAAATATATAAAAGAAATATTAATTGTGCTACTGAAATTATTTTAATCATACAAAAAAATGTGCAAACCAATTATAAAATTCTAGAAAAAATAAATTTATTATTATAAAAGTCACATTAACAATAAAAATTAATTCAGTTCTTACGATTTTAAAATTCAATTTAATTACATTTAGATTAAAAATTACATCTAATAATTCTTGCCTTTTTTAAAATAATTATATTCTATTGTCCTCTTGCACATCGTCTACTATAAAAAACAAATTAGTAGAAATTCTGAATTTTCACAAGGAAATATCTCAAAAGCTTCTACTATCTTATTCTGTAAGATGAATTTATAACAGAACGATAACTGTACACTCTCGGGCCTCACTGAGCGCAATTACTTTAATTATTCCTATTATGAAACTAACGAGCTTAACTTTGATCATGACACGGCGCGGAGGAGAGAAAAAGAGGAAAACAACTTTCTCTCAACCCTTCACACCATTACCTCTCTTTTTCCTCATCGTGTCCTTTTTCTCCTAGACTTGCATACCTTATGCTCATATTACCATATATGAACGTCACAACCTTCAAAAGGAAATTTCGAAGGGAAAGACATGGGAGTAAAAGAAGGAAAAATAAACTCACCAGGGAGTGTCAACTATTAAAAAGGTGCAAGAGTCGAAAAGATTCGTTGCTCCGGAAAAAATATTTTTATTCCTTTCCTTATCTTTATAAGAGATTTCACATGGACCATCCAACTGCCTTGACTAGCAAGTCCTTTTTCACGTATTACCATTACATATTAATATCGGGATAATATTTATAGATTTAATAAATTATTACCAATAATACGTATATCCTATCTAACCTACTTAAACAAAGTTGTTATATTACATGATACATTCAAATTTTAAATTAAATACATACTTAATAAAACTAATTATTAAGTAAATTTTATATCATTTCCACGGAATAATTGGCAAATAAACAGCAAG